TGAGCCGTCATTGAAATTGGGCCATCAGTTAGCAGGTAATTGTAAATTGACTAGAGAACAATGTTGTATTGCGTGATAAATATCATATGGGAAGAGAAACAACCAGAACAGTAAAGAATTCATATATAAAAAATACTATTAAAATTTGAAACTTGGCGTGTGTAGAATACCGTTCGTTTGATAAACATTAGATTGATGAATATATTCGTATGACAACAAGGAAAAAACCTTGATTTATCTGCAATCAAACATTAAATGCTGTGTTTTGCAAGATTCTCGAAAGCACTATTCATGGAATCAAAAATGTTTCTCGCTTCAAGGCAGATAAGATATGAACCTACATACTATTCTTTACGTCATCTTGCATATAATGTTTAGTTAAGTGAGACCTATTGAAAATTAGAATTTTGTCTAAATGGGTGCCAAAAAAAAGTTAGTATAAAATTATTATTAATAGTCTCATGTTTTGATCCTGCAACCGTATCAATACGTGTAATGTGCGAACATGAATACATGCGGCATTTTGGAAGTAATGATCATAATATTAGACTTGAGAATATTATGATACTGTGATGTTATAGAAACTAATCCGTTATAGACGTCCCAATATTATCAGAAACTGTCAGCTAGACATCTCATTTTAATTCGCTTTAATCTTTTTACGTATTAATTGTCGATTGTTTTACATAATCTTTTATATGTTATAATTATCAATTGTTAATTAATTAATGTCAATGCACAAACTTTAATATAAATACGGAATGATATGATATCAGGGGCATCTTGGATTGACCAGAGCACCTGTACAGACGGACAACACCGATGTATTTGGAATATTGTAACCAGTTATTATTAAACAGTTTTAAGTTCTTTTTCATAGTTTTAGTGTAAATTCTCACTACTGCAATATCAGATTGAACATATGACCGAAATGTGTTAATGAAGGACACCCTGAGAAGAGAAACATTTTTTCTGGACATCTAACTATTTTCAGGTTTAAACTGACCAAATGTAACCTCCCAAAACACCTACATCCCATTTCCCCATCAGCAACAACAAAGTTCGTGGTCCTAACATATCAATAAATTCAAACTACAAAAGCTATACCCCTTTCATTTCTACTACATCTTTACTTAAGACCTTATTTTCCTCTTTGGGTCGGTTCATAATGCCAGGCAGGTACATGTCGCTAATTGTAGGAGAACCTTGGTTGTAGAGGAAATTGAATGTAGGGGTTTTGGGAAAATATATGAAATGAATAGAGTTTTTCGTTCTACTTGTCTGCACCATGTGAGCTAATGAAGAGCGTGAATGCCATACAGGATGCAATGAGGTACATCTTGCCAGGACGGCGGCATTAGCCTGCTCTTTTTTGATTTTCAATTTTCGAGGTATCTTTAACGTGCACAGCCTGTAGCACACGGGGCTCGGGAGATAACCGTTATAAATAAACCTATGCATACGTTTGCAGGACTATCATACGAAAGCCGGGTCGGGACATTCCGACTTCTGATCATAATTTTAGACTTGAGAATGCCGGAATTGACAAATTACCTTTAAGGCCTGTTATTTTTTGGCGTCTCAGAAAACATCATTAAAAATTTCATGGTTATTGGGAATTATGATCCTGATTTGAAACTTGAGAATAATGTAATTGACAAATTACCATCAAGGAGTATTAATGAAGGACACCTTGTGAAGAGGAACTTATTTCCGCACAAATGTGATGATTATGAGGACAATTTTAGATCTATAAACACATCCTACGCTAGTTTCTATTATTTAACAGAATGGTGCTTACACATATCTATGAAAACGACCCACAAAGAATCGTTCTTTTGATTATCAAACCAGACAACTCCTTTCAAGACTTTAAGGATGGAATAAGCTTAAATGATTCCCACACATCTTTTCTAAGAAAATCTAAACTATGACTTGATTGGAGTAAATCTGATAGCGGTAGCGTCTGGTCTCGGGCCTTAATTCGATTGAATTATCGTAAGTGGTAAATAACTTAATTAATTTACGGTCTGACGCTCGTTCAGAAAATTAACGACACAGTTTTAAATCCATTTCAACCCCGCTTACTTCTCCCGCCTTTTGTTCGGCTTATTTAAAGGGGAATAACTAATTTCCTATCCACAATATAAGACTATGTCACAAGAATTCTTCAATTAAAATAAATTCTTCTATTCTAAACTGAAATTGAATGTTGACTGAACGGAATTGACATAAACCATATTGCGGAGTTAAATTCAGTGGATGTCACGGTGGTTTGTTTTATACCATAATCAGCATATGGCAGATAACAGACTTTTTATTTAGAAGTACAAAATGCTATTAAAGACGATGACGGAAAATTAAATGGAAGGAAGGGAGGGGGTGGAGGTACAATCAGAGGGCATGGTCAGAAATATTACGGACAAAGCATTGGTATTCGAATCTCATAACATCTTTAAACACGAATATAAATATTACTCGACCAGGTCCCCCTTCCCACACAAACATACATGTATATAAGTTAATTGTTGCTTTAGCCCACTAAGAATAACTTTACTTAAGAATAACTGAGCATATTGTAATTTTACTTGAGCACTTTACAACTTTATTTGAACATATTGTGACTTAGCTTGAGTACATTATAACTTCACTTGAACATATTGTAACTTAGCTTGAGGAAATAACAACTTCATTTTAGCATATTGTAACTTAGCTTGAGGAAATAACAACTTCACTTGAGCATATTGTAACTTAGCTTGAGTACATAACAACTTCACTTGCACATTGTGTAACTTTGCGTGAGGAGTAATTTCGCTTGTGTATAACTTAGACAAGAGAGTAGAATAAATTGGAACGAGCATTGTGTTACTGTTTTGAGCATAATAGTAACTTTTCTCATGCTAACTGCTTATTTACATGCGGATGGCATAACTTTACTCAAAAATAATGTTATTTACTCGAGCATACCGCAACTAATCAAGCGTATTGTATCAGTGCTGGTGACTGGGGAATTAGAATAATAAATTATTCAAATACTATCTGTCGTTTCAAAAAGAATATTAACTTCGTTTTGGGTCAGCGATTGTCAGAAGGTAGATGACACCGCCGCGCCCAGAGCAGACGGAGATATTTGTTAGTCCTATTATGTCGAATCCGTCGTATTCTCAACTTCTAATTCTCTTGGGTGTACTTAATGTAGACAATCATGGAATTTATTACGATTTGAAGACAGTACATCGTCTTTACTTGTCATGACACTAAGTGTTATGAACTATTTCAAATCCGAATCGTTGTATATGAGTCATCCGACAGTCTTGTTAAAATAATACCAAACTTTCTTTTTTTTATTAGCTTTAATTTCTAATATAACCACTTCAGTTAGATGGCAAAAGTAAAAGCTAATAAAAAAATTAAAGATAAAAGTAGAAAGTTCCGTGGCCCAGAAACAGCAATCGTAGCTTCTACAAATCTTCATCTTTTAATTTACCGATGTGACGCCATTTAATGAATTATATATTGTATTTTTATATCTGTCAAAATGCGAGGCTATGAACAGCAACAATTAATAATGTTTTTTTTTCTGGAACATGGATTATATGTTAACCCTGTCGTCATTTTTTACGACTTGTAGTGTTCGCATACGTAGCTAATTGGAGCTAATTGTATTTATCTCTTTTAAATTCATTCATTATAACTTAGCACAGAAAGACAGGAAGCGGACACAAAATATGCTACTACGTACAATTTAATTTCAAAGCCACTAATATAAAGGAAAAAACAGTGAAATACGTAATAATGTAGGGCATAATAACAATAAAGAAAGGTAAAGCAGAATAAATAAATATATGAATAAATAAATTAAAGGAAAATCAAGGGAGACTACTTCTAACAAACTTTACTGCAAAAAATAAATCATTCAACTTCAAGGGAGTTAATAATAATATTCTGGTGAAAGAAAATCTTTTCAAGTTTATCTGATTTAGAATTAGTAAAGTATACCACGAAAAAAACAGCGAGCTGTATTTTATTAATGAGATAGGAATCTGCTGGTAGTTCAGGGTAATAAATGAAATGTCCATATTAAATAATGCGAACCTCCTCTCAACCTTGATTGAACATCAATGGCGTCTGTCTGAACTCGTAGTGCACAATCTTTGTATTTCCAACATTCCATTGGATACCCAATGACTTGTGAAGAACCAGATATACACAAGGGAATGTGCATTGTTACCGTCGATGAAATGAATCTCCGCTATGCCAGTTATTGCCTGGAGTTACACAGAAATTACAAGACTACTATTGCCTTGAGAGTTGAGCAGGAAAACGAGGAAACTCCATTGACACTTGCATGTTGAATCTTTAAGAAATCTATTTATTGACACACTGCACTTCCAAACTCACCTTTCATTGCGAGGCATTGGGGGTTTAGACAACAGTATGTTTTCGACAAATGACTGAAATTGAAAACTGAAATTTTAAAAAATATATCACCCTCCCCTTTCCCCTACCACAACCAAAATACTTTCGGTGACATTTTTTTTAAAATGTCTTGGTAATTTTAACATTGGCTTTATATGGAGGGGAGGGGTCGTTTTATTTTTTTAATTGTAAGCTTCTTGCATTGCTCTCCAACTTTGTAATAACTACCCTACCCCAAACACACTGATCTGAATGTACAATCAAGTAAAGGTTTGTTGATGCAATCTTCAATCCACCTATATTTGGGGTTCTAGGTTAGATTACAGAGGCGATAGGAAAAAACATTGCCCCCTATATATTTACATATAACCTAAATTCCAATTATGATCAATAACACCTGTGTGGTCATTAAAGTCAATTAACTTGATCTAAACATTAAGAATTATTCTCTTGTTATGTAAATTACATAGTTATGATTTATGTCTTATGCAAAGTTCATTCGATTTTTTTTTCCAAAGTCGAGGCGAATAAAAATTTCTTTCTCCATTTTCTGAAATACGTTCATTTGAATCTCTGAACAGCAAGAATGTTAAGCTGGCGAGAAATTGCTGTTTTCGTGGCCACCATCGCCATTTCATTGGCTATTCAAGATGATACACATTTCAGTGAAAGCATCCTATGTAAGTACTATTTATTCATCTCTGGAAGATAAATATATTGTTAAAATCAGAGAGGTTAAATAATTAACGCTTCTGGGCCCCGTTCCACAAAAAATCTTAGGATAAGCTGTTGTCATAAGTGTAGAATTTTACATTGAGAAATATTAACGGGACGAGCTCAGGTGATTTCGTCGGTTTCTTCTAGTCGTTAAGATGGGACAATAAACTAAGACCTGTGTTGTGCAGACTGTGTTTGTTTAATTCCTCGACAGTTAGAAATCATAGTAAGTAAGAGTATAGGCAAATTCAAGTGTGTGCAAAATTTCTCTAGTTGTAAACTGCAAAGTGTTTAGGGTTTCATTAGCCCTACACTTAGAAAAAATTATGGGTCGCTTTGCTATAGCAATAATTGAGTATCGCCAAACCGATTCAAAAGCTTATGTTACATTTTTACACAGGTATTATATGAACACAATTTGAGTTTCTTTTTCATCTATGAACATTTGTGAACGTATTGACTGCAATGTTAGCCTGGAGTGATCAGGAAATGTAGGGGTAATAACAATAAATACTGTGGCGGACATCACATGCACGTGTTCCCCTTGCCAGTTTGGTCCGTATCCATTTGGATTCCACGAAAGTAATGTTTGTTTTATGTTTATCTCCATGATCAACTGTAATATTTGGACATTTTAGGTGAACCAAGGTGTGCAACCGGCTTTACCAGATTTAAAACACAATGCTATGTAGTTCCTGACGCCAGTGTAACATGGGGCGACGCATTGGTGAGTATTTCAGGAAAATTTTGACAATTATTTGGCTGGTGTAGAATAAAATGAGGAATTTCTTACGAAAATAATTGACCTGGGTGTTCAGAATCTGTGACAGAACAGTTGATAGTAGTTTCCATAATACCACAATTTGTGGATCTGAGTCATATTAGTGCCGTAAATCTTTTGGATGTGATCGATACGACTCTCAAGATATCTTGAAAATCGCAATCGACCCGAGTTTGGGGTACCAAAGAGTGTCTGAATATCCACAGACACACCATGTACATTGCTTTTATATTCCCCTCCAATTTCAGGAATTCTGCCACACTTTCGATTCAGAATTAGTCAGAGTTGATGATGAAGAAGAACAGAATTTCTTGGAGGGTTATCTGACAAAAAAACGAGGTAGTGAAATATGTATTTCTAGTTTATTTATATAGTCTCCTAAAGATATTTGATTCGGCTTTGACCCCCTCCACAAAAATCTCACTTTACATAGGAAAATATTTGCCTTTGAGCCCACATTGACAATTCTGTGGCCCAAACTCGCTACCCCTTCCCCCCAGCGAGTGATTTATAGAAACGACACTGCCGACTATTGCCATAAGTAATTGTAAATAGTCGAGGACTGTGTTTTCTCGGCTACCCAATTTCAGCGTGTGTGGGTATTTCCCTGCGATACACTTTTTTTGGGCCCATGTATTTTTCGGTCAGATATTTCAAACAATATCAAATTATTCCCGACTTGACGTCATTGTTTGCTGTGATATTTATCTATTTATTGTATTTGTAATTGTCCTACAACGTTTCAATGGGAAAACATCAAAAGCTGCTTACTAACCATCAGTTGTATGATGTCGTTGTACAACACATGTTAACAGTAGAATTAACAAGCTTTTTTGTGTTCTTTAACTTAAAAGCGTTTGACATTGACACATGTGTTCAAGACAAACTCGCTTTCGTCTCTTTGACAAAAACCTAAAGAATTACGTGAATGAATGGAAGAATTTGTAATCAAATGAAAAGTATATTTGTTACTTGTAATAGGCCTCGGGATGCCTGTTTTGTCTGAAGAAAGACAGAATCAATTCGACAATGAAATATCACACAAACAAGTTTTAAAACAACGTTTTAATGATAATTGAGTAGGCCGATCAAGGAATTTCAAAATAGAAAACATACATTGGCAGTCTAAAAACAGCAGATATTTTTTTTTAAAAAAAAACAGATGCATTGTCCCGCAGCTATTTAATACGCCCCCGGCATGTCGTTTCACTTTCAAAACGGATAGTCGAATTCGCCAACTACCGCCAACGTTTAAATAAAGTCGTTCAGACCACAGAAATTCAAGGCGCTTCAATGGTTATTTGGACTATTCTTACGTGCCTTTTGTACCGGAATTTTATCAAAACATTTTCTTAAAAAATATTAGACTATGTATACTTTGAAAGCAACTCATTGTCAATACTGCAATAACTGCACTTTAGAATGTTAATATCAATCTGAATATTGAGGCTGTCGTAATTTCCGCCCATCAGCTTTTGTTACAGACCAATTAGATGTAGGATTTTTTATTCTAAAAACAACTACAATGTAGCTTTATCGAATGAGAAAGAAGACACTTTAACGAGTACACGTGTATCCCTGGCTTAATTATTTGACCACTGAAATGTGTAATATTGTGATCATATCGTTTGCCTGTCACTGCTGGATCGATGCTACTGACATCGAACTTTCATTCAAAACAAGCTCATCTCTAGGAAATAAAATAAGGGTCTATTTCCATTGGATCTTGAGCTTCCTTTGAGTAGTAAATATTCTGTTCATCTATTTCAGCCAGTCATTTCTGGATCGCTGCTACTGATTTGACTTTTGAAGGCGATTGGAGATGGTGTAACACTATGGGTCCAGTAGTAAAAACATTTTGGGGGCCTTACCAACCTGATAATAAAATGAACAGAAAGGGCCACGTTCAAGATTGCGTGGTGCTGAGTGATAGAACCCATTATAGATGGTATGACGAGGATTGTGAACAAAAATACCATTTTGTTTGTGAAAAGCCTATCTATTAAGCAGGTATATAGCCTACATATTTACGTTGTATATTTTATGACGTAATAAGTCAGAGAGGCTAACTTGGACAATGTAACTAACTGAGGCACAGACATTGACAAAACTTTCACCATTGTACATTACAAGAGTGATGGTTTTGGTCCAAATAGGACGGCCGAACTCACAGGCTTCGCTATCATAAAGAAGGCTTTCTTACCTATCCGCTATGGCCTATATAGCCGTGGTTGTGAGTGGTTTTGTTAAATACAATTGCTCTTGCTGGTAATTGACGTTTAAGTGGCTGTGGAGAACTCTCGAAACACAAATGGCTATTGCATCAGAAATAGGTCTTGACATAGACAAATTTGTGAACATTTTTAATATCCTTTTAGAGTCTTTTTAATGTTTCATGAATAATTGTGAATTTTACTTTTTTTCCAGGTTTGAAGAGAAATGTAGATTACTTCTAAATAAAGATTGTGTTATGTACAACATGTTTGCTTTTTTACTAACATACTTGAAAGCTTAAACGTTTAAGTAACAAAACCAGTAGCAGAATACTGTGTATGAGAGCTGTGGGAGAGGACGAGGTGTGGCGTCCGGTGTGGTGAACGGTGCGCACCATACGCCCCACCGTTCCTCGTCTATTATATTTGCACAAGGCATAAGTACTGATTTATGGCGTCCGAGGCCTCGTTCTCTCTGTTTGGTACTCTTGCATTTCCCAACGCCCAACTTCATCTGATTGAAGAATAGTCAATTCCGTGGGTCTTGGAAATAAGAAAAACCAGTGGGTGATTTCAAAACTGTCGAGGAGTGTTTCACATGCACGACCTCTGTTCCTTTCCCCACCCAAATGACTAGATTATGTGGAGCTTTTCCCGGAATAAACTGAGGTGCAGTTCATTGTGTCTTGATGCAGAATCCTCTATCAAAACAGGAATAGAAACCATTACAATATTTCATGGGGCACAAATTAGGTCATTGCACAGATAACATATCAATGATTTGCATCCTTATGATGTCGACCATGAAAGTTAAAATATAATATCATTATAAACGGCGTTATCAACAATACTGAAGAATCCGCGCTTGCAAACTCGGCATACAAAAACATAAAACCATAATTAAGGCTCCAGCCAATTAAACCGAAATCAAAGATGGGTTATGTTTATTGTTTCTTGGTTGTTGTTAGATATTGGAAGAGGGAATTGTACTGTAAATAATTGATAGAATTCTCATCATCAACAACAATCTAGGGTCCCATTAAACATACGTCATACTAATTATATTCCTCTTGAAATCTCAGCGGGAGAATAAACATCATAATTTAGATTTTCGAATTCTCCATCGGAGGGGAAATTTATCGCTACAGACACAAGAAATTAAATTAGATGAAGATCATGTCCTACTTTTCTGCATCTGGTTAGGTTATTGAAAACTAGATAACGACTTTTGGTGTGCAGTGGGGAACGGGTGAGATACATTGGTCTACTCTGACCATAAGGACTAGTTGATCCAAGAGAAGCCCACCCCAAGAAAATATGCAGGAAGACATATATTATATCTGACTTTTCAGAAATTCTAAACGCTATAAGACAGTAGCATAAAGAGCCTCGGAGTCCTATGCATTTGAGTTCCGGCCCTGCTCCACTGGTAGGTTAAAACCGTACTCGACAAGAGAAACATCTGGTTGGTTGCAAGACTGGATATATGTTAAGCTGCACTAAAAGGAGCCTTCCTCAATTCTACCTTATTCCATATCCAACGACGAACAATGTTGGTACTTTTCACATAAGCCGGAAACTTATAGTTTAGTTCGGTTGATAGAAGTAGAGCAAAACTCATATACAATTGGAATTCTTCAACGTTATTTATTTATCATTTTACACATGCATTTGTACGCTACATGACCTACATTGAATAGATGGAATTAACAATTTGAGATGAGTTAACTCCCTTGCTTATTGAAATTATCTTCCTTGATGAATCAATTGTCAAAGTTTTCCGCTTGAATGGAAGTTTTTATGATATCGCTTCTCAGAGGTATGACATATTGTCACCCCGACCTTAAATTAGAATTTACATTGTTATTCGTGCATGTAGGCATCTTTTATACGAATGAAATTGATCATAAACAGGAAGTACTTTTCACGATTAAGAACCGACAACAACGAGTTAAGAACCGACAACAACGAGTTCGTATACAATCTAATAAAAACAATCCATGTATAACTATTACCGGAAATTACGACAGCTTAATTCATTTGAATTCTGCGTTTTGAAACCGTATAAAAGAAGTCACTTTGTATCTAGTTCCAGGCGAGTAAGGTTTTGGATTTCACTTCTAAAAAGCGATATGTGTAGCTAAAAATTGGCCTCAGTCAGCTTATAAACTGAATAATTAGACAACTCTATGGCTTTCAGGTAAATTGCGTGTATTACGAGTCCGAATTTCAGATATTACCATAGTTATTTGGATCATGCGTTGAAATATATTTTAGTGCAAGAAAGAATTATTTATTTGTTTAGTTTTATATTTAAAAATCTGTGATTCCCTAATATTGACGTCACTACAAATTGAAAATGTTTCTTTTCGCAGTTTGAAATATTAGATCCTTAAAGTATCGCAAATTTTTATTAGCGTTTGGGCTGTGGGGGCGGTTGGAATTTAAACCCACCCGCGTATAACGAATTTAAGTTAACGGTCAACAGCTTGACCAATAATGGTCATAATTGAAAAATTCATATCTGAGTTTATTTCCTTATTGTTCGTGCGAAATATTGTCCGCCTATACTTAATGATTATATTGTTTTTAATTAACCTACATAAAAACATACAACAAGGAATGACGGTAACACGTGGTACAAAGGTACTCACAGATCAGGAATTTTGGGTTCAAAATTAAATTCATACCTCGCTATTATTACAAATGATTGATACATAAATTAGCATAAATTAGTGTCAGATTTCACAGTAAACAAAAATAAAAGTATGTGGTGAGTTATTTTACTGACCCACTCGAAATTTCATTGGAAATTTACCCATTCTAAACTATACATTTATGCATATAGGAATTCTTCTATTAACGCATAACGTTAAGGTATGTAGGGTAATTATTGTGCGGTGACCAGATGGCGCCACTGGTATCAACGTAAAGAAGATTGATTTTAAATAAACACTTAATCGTGAGCTAATTGAAACGTAATTTAAATGATGAATTTGAATAACAATCGACCTTTATTCACATATAGATTAAGAATAAAATTATTCAAATTAACTTCAACTTTACCAACTTTCTCGAGCATTTTAAATCTTGAGCGATAACGTCTTTCATTTGGTGGTGTGTTTAGTTAGAGAACTGGTCTTTTTAGCAACATCATGGTCTCCTGGAGTTTCGTCGCTGCTTTAACAGTCGCAACTATTGCTACAGTATATTGCGTACTACCAGAACAATTTCACGAATGTGAGTATACAATTCTTTGATAATTCTTTTACAAATCCCTAAGTTTTCCCTCAATAAGGTTTTAATTATATATACTTTTAAGCAAAAAAGCGTTTTGTTATCGATAAAATAGTACCGGTATGTATTGAAGCGATGTCTGTACCATCATGAGCATGCTCAGTCTTCCAGGACACTCGATGACACTTTGCGACTTGGGTTTGCGACACATGATTATGTTCTTCGATACATTACTTTGTTACCAGAATAACTTACAATCCATAAAATGACTTTCGAGTTACGACCAAAATGCAATTCAGTGTAGAACAATATCGCTGTATTTCGAATAAGATTTCTCCTTCATGTGATATGAGGTGTCGAAGCTGCTTGGTCTGTTTCTAAATTTGCAATTTCATGTTATCTTATGTTCTCTCAAATACCCTTGTAACAAATGGCGTTTAACAAAGGAAATAAACAGGAAGACAAATTGTAGCTTTTAAAGCCAGCTGGCAGTTAATTGAACGCTAAACAATCTACCAGGATTAGATTTTTGTTTTTATGCTGCTTAGGCACATACTCTAAATCTGACAGCATCATTTAAACAAGATGATAATTGGTGCAAACTTCAAATTGATTGTGAAAACAATGATTTTGTCGATAGATCATGAGTGAAGTATAACTCATTGAAAATTAACGAAACAACCATCTAGAGCTGTATTTTGCCGAGTATCGTACCGATCGTCTTTAGACAATTTACTTTTTTTTCGTTTTTTAGGTGTTAAAGGATGTCCGAGTGGATTTTTCTATTTTGATGACAGTTGTTATGTCATTCCACGTATCAAGGTATCCTGGGGACAAGCCGTGGTAAGTAAATATATATTAGGTTTATAAGTATTTCACACCTGTTTAATAAACCATACTCTGAAGACATGTTTAAGGATCATCTATATTTCACTTTCAAATTAAATAAAATCATCTCTTTAGCAAAATTTCATAAAAAAAAAACACAAAACAATAAAACAACCGGAGCAATTGACTTAAAATAGTCTGGAAAACCTTGTCTGGAGGTTTGATCACGAACCAGCTGGTTGACAAGATCTTCGAGATGCCTTGAGGAAAGCGCTTACTCCATAAAAATGCATTATGGTTTCTGTTTTTGCCTTAAACCAATGCTCTTCTTCAACACAGAGAGTGTCATTATGATTGGTTTAAGTCATAATCATTTTAAGATAAACCCAATTGTTTGTATTTTAAGGGTTATTGCCGAGCCTTAGATTCAGAACTTTTAACTATTGAAACAGCTGCTGAACAAGAATTCCTTGCACAAGAATTAAAGAAACATCATGGTAAGACTTGAAACATTAAGAAGCAAACCATACACCCCCCTTATCCCACGTCCCCTCTACGCCCCAGCCGTTCCCTCCCGTCACTTCACTATAACTCATGTCACTGGAAACATTTTTGACTTCACAGAATGGTAAGAGTCTACTACAATCTAAGGCTAGAATACAACTGATTTCTATAACTACGAATTAGAAATTTCAAAGGGAGGGCTTGTCGTAAATGAGCAAAGACATTTTGGAAAAAAAAACAGTGTACACGAGTATGTGAGACTGATCTTGGTCTTGGTAGAGAGAATGTTTTAAGATCAATATTTGATATTGGAGACGAAACAGCTGAAATATTGTACTAAATTCTGCAAATTTGAGATCATGGAATCTTCATCACTCCAATGGTGTGATCGTGAAGATGTTGGTCGTCTAACTTCGTCAAATAAAGTGTCGTAAGTAGTGGATGTAGCACTTAAAGAAAGTGCGGATTGTATTGCAGCTTTCGACAATCCTCTTCAGTTCCCGTAAAGCTCAATCTGTTGCAGATCGCTAGCAAAACTTTACGATATTCCGTTTGCTATTGATGATGATATATTATCAGGTGGTTTTTGCATCAAGCGAAGAGGCTGATACTGTTATATAAATGTATTTTTCCATTGTTAGGTGGTTCCTTTTGGATTTCGGCAACTGACATTGTCGTGGAAGATCAATGGCGAATGGCAGTCAAAATGAGTCCAGTTCTCGTTCAAAATTGGGCTCCAGGACAACCAGATAATAACGTTACAAAGCATGCCCAGGGGGAACATTGCGCCACTATTGAGATGCATGGCTCTTGGTACGATGAAGATTGCAAACATCTTCATTATTTCATTTGTGAAAAACCTAGCGTCTAACTAACTGATGGGCAGAGTCATTGATTGCGATGGAAAAATTTATGTTATAATAAAAAATGTATCAGTTTTTTGAGACTATTTTTCTTTTTTTTACCACAGATCTTTACCTGCAGAGGCTTGCGCTCCAACCACGGGTTCGTTATTTAAAGGGCCACGAATGATTGTTATACATTTTTGATTCTCGTTTTTAACGAAGTCGTAATACTTTACGAATCTATTTGGAAATATAACATGTGTTTCGAGCGCAAGTATGAAAATTATAACGGTAGATCTTAACATCTGATTAATGCTATGCCTCAAATACATTTAAAATAACATGACGTGGCTCTTTAAAAACACCTTTTTCTCTTTCCTCTGCAGGTAAGATGTTCTGGTTTGCTGCCCAAGATATGGTGGTAGAAGGTATTTGGCGATGGACAAGATCATTAAGTCCTGTCCTTTTGAAATACTGGAGAAAAGCCCAACCTGACAACCGACTTGCTCCCGATTATATCCACCGAGAACATTGCGGGGCCATTGCTGAAGACGGCTGGTCTGATGAGCTTTGTAACGACGAGCATTACTTTATTTGTGAAAAACCCAGTTGGTAAGGAGTCGTAACCACTCGAGTTTTGACGGAGAAAAACTGATTCAATTAGATGTAAAACAACACAATAAAATTCTTCTAAAAACTTCAGCTTCCTTCAAATAAAAGCGATATTGGTGTCCGAGAAAATAAAAGAGGGTACGGGGGTATGGACATTTTAGCGCCCTTACAATGATAACGGCTCCGACACTGAGAATTGTTTCATGTGCTTCTCATGAAAGGAGAGGTAAAATTTAGGAAAGAAAATGAATCCAGCCAAAACACCAATTAGCGCCAATTTGATTATGCAGTCAATAGATATATTTGCTACTTTTATAAAATGGCAACATCTTTGACTTTCTTATATTTCACATGGTATCTATCTAACCAGGCCTCTATCATACTATCACGCTTTGTCTGCGCACAGGGTGATTTTTGGGTGTCAGAGACCATCCTTTCAAGTACACAGAGGACATTTTCTGCGACATTCCTCCAGCGACCATTTCCTGTAATAATATATACTCAGAAGGAACTCAATCTGTGATCAAAGGGAGACCATTTCCTTTAAATTAAATAAAAATAACATCTCGGGAAATATTTTCTGAATCTGAATTGAGGAGAGACAAGGTCACGCATTGTAAACTTTCTTTATATATGGGCTAATGAGGACATACAACACCATACAAGGAGCAAAGACATATTCTGCAATGTCAACGGCATTAAACTTCTCTTTTTTTATTCCTAACTTTTCTTTGAGAGAGTTTCAACGGCATCTCCATTATAAGTTAACAAATTATGGATTGAGAGAGGATGCGAAAATAAAGACAGAAAGAAAGTCAATCTATTTTATTAAATTCTTCCAAAATCTTATCAATAACCGTTGGCTTCAAAATACTTTTGATCAGTTTATGGCTCTGTTGGACAGAGTTTGAAACTCCTGCTTTGTCAATGGAATTATCTGCTGTTAAACCAGAATCTTTGCCGTCATGAAGATCTGAGAGCTTACATTTAGATACAGTGTATATTCGGGGGGTATTTTTGGCACTTTTTAATAAAGTTATGTCACTGTCTATATCTGAACAATAAGAGTCTTTCTCCATTGGAGTATTACATTTATCGTCAGATGTTTTTTGCTCACTTTCGTTCAATTTCAGAAATTTTTGTTTACCTGATTGAAAAATGTCACTTTCATTCAATTTTCTTTTCCCAATGGATTTTAATCTGTTGCTTCCTTCAAAATCATGAACTTTCCAAGATCGGAATTTATCACAGAATTGCTGAAATTTATTGTAATTACAAGCATCAGTTGATACTGATTCTTTGTTGGCGTTATCAGTTACTGGATAACTATCACCTTTGTTATTTTCATTCAGAAGACATTCGGAACCACTGCTTTGCCTATTGTCTGTTTCTATCCTACTAGATTTTACCATATTTTCCAAGGAATTTTGAAAATATTCAAAATTTACTTCATTACTTTGTAGGATCTGAAAATACAACAGAATTTAACAGTAAATTTCAATATTCAGCAACTAAGAAGTGCATTTCATAAGAAGTTACTGATAAAAATATTGAGTTTGTTGGATCTTTGGTTTCAGGGAAGAGAGGATGTGATCTTTCAAAATGTAATGACCTAGGGAAGAATTTCCTTTAGAGATTTGAAAGCTCTCTAATAAGAGTTATGTAAAATCCTGGAACAGACCTCAGTGGGATTGACCAGACTGTTGTTACTATCATTATTACTGGATGATAAACTTGATATCAGTATTCTTGTTATAGCTTCTCTAACTCTTGTCTCATTGTCATCTTCCTAAAATGTTAACAGGCTTAACTAGGTGATCTTTAGTCATACCTCAAGCACATGGATTTTCCTAATAAATCCATATTTATTGAAATTGGATAAAAAGCCAATTTCTAATTTGAATGATTTTATGTCTAACTCTTTGATTTTTTCAGCATGCTTGCGATTTGAGATAGGTTCAGGTAGAGTGCTATTTTTCATTATTGAGGTAACACCTTAAATTGTTGTTACTGTAACAAACCAACCATCTAATTGTTTAATCATTGAGTTGGATGGATTTGTCATGAGTAATCTCAAAGAACAAAAAGCTTTTTGACCAATGACCCAAGATGGGATTAAGCCTGCTTCCAGATGAACTTTGAGCTCAATACCTACCATTTCAACCCAAGTATTGACACTTATAGCTGTATCCAGGCACTGAACATAATGCCACCAATGTTTAGGTACATACAATACATCCCCTGGCTCTAATATTACCATATAAGGATGACAGTTCTGAAAAAATTCCATATATCTGAGGGTGCATTTCTGTAAAATTCCAATGCTGCCAAGTTTGTCATGGTAGTAATATTTCATGATTTCAATACTATCAAAGTTTTTTTAAATAATGTTGCTATTATGTTTACAGTTACATTTCCTATTACTGCAAATGGGTGCGCATTAGTAACAGAATTATACAGTTAATGAGTGGTCATATATTAAAGTCATTTTCCAGTTAAAGACTCGAGTAAGCGTTGTTCATGTTACCTTAAAATGAGGATGTCTATTAAAATCAGTATTAGTGATATTAACTTCACTGAATACACTGGATTCTTCATATGGTATTCTAGTTGGATACAGTGATTCCATATCCCCTGGTGGAAATAAATACCATTTCTTTCTAAAATCATACAACAAGGGATATAACTCTTGGTTATCTTGCTACTATAGGTTCAGTTTGAAATAGGTGATCATAAAATTGTTGTTATGCAGCAAGAAAACGATTTTAGACTTTGAACTATGGTCCAAACTTGCTAAATTCATATAAAAATTAACCTAGAACTCCTAGAACGTGCAATTGGTTTGCATTACATTGACAATATTTGGGGAGTGTGGTGGCTCATTTGCTTTGCCAAAGGTTGAAATTAAGCTAAATATCAAAACTAAATTACTTGTAAGAGCTTTCACAAGTAAAATGTCACGGAACAAATCATACTAAAGATATTTCAGTTAGTTAATTCATACAGCTTACCTGCCAGAGATCTGAGATACCAGATTGAAACCATAAGTATCATAATGACAAGGTGTTGTACAACCATCAGATCCTATCCATATTGTACTATCATTACCATAACGATCTGTTAAACCAAACACACCCCAATCTACACTCTATAATAATAATATAAACAATATTCAGATATTAAACAACTAAACATGTGAATATGTATTGATATGTACTGAGAAACCTGTTAAGATTGAGATTAAAGCAGAGCTAATTTCAAGTATTTTTAAAAGCTTAAATATGGTAATGGAATATTGATCATTTGTTCTCAACAATAGGCTATGCATGTAATTGTAAATGTGCTCAATAAATCCATTTAGGGTTAAATATAGTTCCATATAGTAAGATAGAGTCGTGCAGTAGGCACTCAATATTACAGTGTTTGCATTACACCAACTCTTTGATTTTGCGTCAGTATGTGGTTCATATTTACTTTGAAAGAGATTTTTTTCCAGAAGAGGTGCACATTTTACATATATTGGCAATTATACAGTAATTGAACAGAAACCTCAAACGCCATTTTGATTATACATCATGGCAAATTATGATGAAAATTATCAATGAAATTTATCAGGGGTAAAAACAGAAAACCTACTTGTAAAATTTCCTCATTATCTGAAAATAATTCCACCATATATTTATAATCTAAATAACAGAAGTACTTGTCTTTATCAATCTGATGTAGAGGATTCGAGGGTCTACTCTTACTAGAACACCATTCAATAAAATCATCTATAGTAATATCTAGATACAAGCACTGTGTTTCAAATATTCCTGAAGATATAATAACATATTTCAAAAATACATCAGAACAATAGGCCTTGTATTGAAGTAGGGAAATATATTCCATATTCAAAGCTATCACTAATTGGCCAATAACAGACATGGTTGGCACAACAGGGTTCAAAGAGTCAATAATTAACATGCAAACAGGTAGAATAGCCCTTGTGTTCTTGCCCAACCAGGATAATTTTTTATAACTGCATTGTCAAATAATTGGCCTACTGGTACTAACCTTGAAATTTGGGTCCAATTTTACACTTGATTTCCGTGTCTTTCAAATATTGAGCTAGATGTTGGAGAGTCCATTTCCTGGCCGACCATTCATTTATAAAGTTTTTAAAGACAACAGGCTGATTTCTATCTTTAATAAACGTTTCAAAATCCATTATTCTGTTAGCGCTTAACATAGACGAAGTGTTGTGATTTTAGCTCCTCTACAAACTGCTGATACTCGCTGGAGTCTAACAGCAAGATTATCTGAATATTCCTAAGAATTTCAAGTTTTATTATTTATTGTTTCGGTGGTATTAAAGCAGAAAATAAGTTAAAATGACACACAATTCCTACTTTCATTTTTCTAAATGGAACACTCTTTTTACCTTCGTAATTAAAGATTAACCAAAGGGGCATAACTCGAACTTATTAAACGTAGTCTGTAGTCTTTGTTGCTGGGAATACAGAGGTAAGAAGTTCAAATAGATCGTAGTGAAAAAAGGTGTTTTTTTATCTGCTCGAAAAGACTGATCTCTTCCCCCTATCTATGCTTAAAATAATTGTCTAATTATTGAGCCAGATGAATTTGTCTACCCAAGATCATGGCTTTTTTATCCTGCACTGCCTTCTTTCTCAATAGTTACCTTATGACTTAGGAACGCCCAAGATTTAAACCCATGACGAAACTTTTTTTTTATATCTCTACGACGGTCATTCTCGCTACGCCTGACAATAGACAATGGCCGCCCGTAGCTACGAATGCATTTCTCCATTGATATTTACGCTTTTTAATGGACGACATATGACCAGGGATTAACTGTGTTTGAGTATTCAACTCTTAATCGGGATTCTCTGTTAGTCCCGTTGGTGCCTTGGTTGAGAGGGTGTCACTGTATATATGCCAATGGGAAGAAATGGCACTCAAGAATAGACTTGAGAAGAGGAATTACCGACATGTTGACTAGTCTACGTGATTTTTGATTAACACATCTTATTTTTGACAGATTAAATCCTTTTATCTTATCATACCTACTTGATTTATCTCTCGTTATCGATAGACAAAAGTGTTTATATTGGTAAACGTGCGGCGTAGTCACACTGAAAATTATTGCCCTCTGTAAGTTCATTTAGTAACAAATTTCTTACCAGATCTGGAGCTCAGATATTTTTCTCATGTTTTCTTTACCCTAATTCACATTTTACAATGTTCAAGCTTAATTGCTTATCAGTATAATATACGTCAATATGACTGGGAAGAATAATGTTATGCTGTGTTGAATTGTGGTATCGTTTGCAACCATTTAATATGCAGTTATCTCCCTTCTGCTGCACACATCTCATCTGAGCCATGAAGAGGTCCTCAAATTGACAGCTACATGATGTGAGTGATTGTGCCTACATTTTCAGAGTAGCTACTCTCATATTTTGCATCGAGAAATATTACTGTCTGTATGTAAAATATAGATCTTGATGCTCTCTACGCTGCATGGATGCTGGCCCGTAGCCAAGGGAGACTTTGCGTAACAATCTTTGCCCCCCCATTAATAATGGTCAGGCGACGGGCCTGCATGGATGGCAAGTGGATTCACCCACAGGGTAGCATTTTAATCTGATTGGGAAACTCAATTCAACTTTTAAAGTAGACCAACGTACTTTTTGTCAAGTTTTCAAGAATTTAATCACGAGGACATATTTTTATCAAAACAGATGTCCAAATTTACTGATAATTGAAGTTTTATCACACTCACTTGACTATTCATAACTTAACTATAATGTCGTTACGTGCGTAGGATCATGACACCGAACGCCAGGATCAACCTTACAAACTTGGTCCAAATGTCATAGGACCACGATTTACGCGAATAATTTCTGTCTCTAATTCTGTGGGCATAATAACGATTTTCATGAGCTTAATTTCCGGTTTGTCTTTATGATCCAATTTGACCGGGACTGTTTAGACATGCTTACATTATGTTCTTGGGTGCAAAAAGGAAGTGAACAGAAAGGCCCAAACCATCCGATAATGATAATTTTACGGTAAAGAATATTGTGGTTATTGCTTACAAATAATATTCTGGTTTGTGTAGGGAACTGTAGGTGCTGTAGAAACTATTATATACTGACTGTGATACTTATACAGTTAGCAAGAAAGCTGCTTAAAGTGCTTGATCAAATCCCTAATCTCCTGTGCCGCGAAAAGCAAGAGGTGTGACACGGGCAACCTTGATTTAAATGGTTCGTTATTAAATCATTGCAGACTTGGGTAACTGAAACATGTTCTTTAAACCAGTGAAGCAAAATACAGGTGTGGAAGCATGTCTAAATGACACTTGTTAAAGATGGTACTCTTGTATGAAAGAACGTCATAAAAGTTGATTGGACAAAAACCCATAGTCATAACACTCGTAATACAGCTATTTTGAGTGCAGACAAAAGGAAAAACAGATAATGATGCATTCGGTATTTTATATCAGATAAACCAACAAAAACATTAACAACATAATAATAATAATAATAATAATAATAGTCTCAATAATCACAACATCGTTTTCCAAAATATCTGCCCCAGACAATGTCAATACCAGACAATAACAGTAGGACACCAGAGTCTGACATTGTCAACACCAGGCAATGTCAATGTCAATACCACATAATTCCATATAACCTAGCAATGTCAATGAATATATTAGACAATGTAATTGTCTGGCAATACCAGACAATGTCAATACCAGATTCTGACATTGTCAACACCAGACAATGTCAATGGCAATATCGGACAATGCCAAAACGAGAGTCTGACAAAGTCATAATCAGACAATGCCAATCCCTTTAAATGTCAAAAAAAGGAGTGTTAAAATTTCCATAGCAGACATTGTCAATACCAGAGATTAACAATGTCAATATCGGGCAATGCCATTACCAGACAATGCCAATACCACAATCTGACAATGCCAAATTCAATATCAGAGAATTCCAGTACAATATACTGTCAATACTGTACTTGTCAATGTCAATATTAGACAATGCCAATAGCATATTAATCCTTGACAATGTCAACAGAAGGCAGTGTGAATTGCGAAACTGCACAGTAGTGTCAATCACTTAGTGGTGCATGGTTATAGAGACCTTGATTTCTTAAGCATTGTGCCAGAGGATTTTCACTACTTGATGATTTCTTCAGTTTCGCCCGTTTATTTTGGAACCAGATTTTGATTTGAGACTCTGATAGGTGAAGGCGAATCGCCAAATCTCGTCGCCGAGCTTCTGTCAAATAACGACATTCCTCAAATTCTACTTTCAGTTTTTCTAATTGTTCATTTGTGAAGGCAACTCTCGGTCGTTTGTCCTCCGAACTTTCTGAACTGTTTCTTTTTCTTCTGACATGGCGAGCTCTTGGCCCTGAAATGATAAAAAAACCATCACATAAAATATATATGCTTATAAATTTGTTTCACGACTGAATCTTGCATATTTTCTGTTTACAATCAATTTCAGATGGGACACAGTATTTATTCAACATCCAATTTGTCCATTTTACTCATATTTACCATATTCAACGTCATTATTTATACAAACTTCCTTCTATTTACCGATTCAACGTCATTATTTATACAAACTTCCTTCTATTTACCGATTCAGCGTCATTATTTATACAAACTTCCTTCTATTTACCGATTCAGCGTCATTATTTATACAAACTTCCTTCTATTTACCGATTCAACGTCATTATTTATACAAACTTCCTTCTATTTACCGATTCAACGTCATCATTTATACAAACTTCCTTCTATTTACCGATTCAACGTCATCATTTATACAAACTTCCTTCTATTTACCGATTCAACGTCATTATTTATACAAACTTCCTTCTATTTACCGATTCAACGTCATCATTTATACAAACTTCCTTCTATTTACCGATTCAACGTCATTATTTATACAAACTTCCTTCTATTTACCGATTCAACGTCATTATTTATACAAACTTCCTTCTATTTACCGATTCAACGTCATTATTTCCACATTATTTATCTCATTATTACGTAATTTTTACAAATTCTACGTTCTATTTACCGATTCAACATCATAATAATTTTCCCATTTACCGTTCTATTTAATTCATTCTATTTACTTAGGCCTATCCGTCATCATCATTATGGAAATACTATTTGCTTATTTTAATAATATTCTGCTATTAGACTGATTTTCACCCAAATAAAGATTATTATTAATAGTATTCAGCATTCTATTTACATCGAGATTTTACATGTGTATATGTACACCCAATTATAATTTTTACATCTAGATTCTGCATAGTACATCCAATTCCAACACAGCCAATTACGAATTCTACATCGTGGAACAAATTCTACCTTATTATTCTACATGGTGTTAGCGATTTTAACAACCAATCAGCTGCCACAGTGAAAGCAAGGGGTATAATTATGGGGGTGACAAATCAGTATTAATGGTAACAGAAGGTGTCAGAAGAACTATAGAGCCGATCTAAATTAAAGACTGATTCCCATCTCATCTATAATGAATTTCCTCTTGACATGACATTTACAAATCAACATGATCAATAAGTTGGAATCTAAAGTCAAATTTCATGTTTTCGTACATTTTTCAGGAATTTGTCAGGCTATGCTCCTCTAGCAACGGTTGATATTATCCATGCGAATATGCTCTCTGGCATACATGGACGTACAAATCAACACGACCAAATTTCTGAGATATTTTAGTATTGTGTACGGGACAGGACCGAGATGTTTCTTGCTCTTAATTCAAAGCGTATACATTTTTCTCGGGAATTGTTGTAGTAACATATCAAGACCATGACAATCTATGATATACTAGCGCCATCTTATTTTGGTTTCATCTTTAAACGTAAATTTCATTTGTTGGTAGCCTAAATAGTCGAAAGTTGAAATTTTCGCAAATTGATAGATTTAATTTTTTCTCAATTTGACATTTTGGTGATATTTCGAACTATTCTTTATCATAGGAGATAAAATAGTCAAAAGCCATTACTAAGACCACACTATTAGGCCTTCCAGCATTACTGGTCCTACACAAGCGTTCTTCAAAATCAAGGGCAATAACTCGTAGACAAATAGTAGAAATATAAAAATGTATATTTTAGAATAAAATATGGTTAGAAGAATATTGATTAATAACGTACACCTGCATAGACTTGTTAATTTATCATTTTCATAATTCCTAATTAACACACAGAACAATGGAGTTATAATTATACATTAATAGAGATATTAATATATTGTTTCTAATTAACCAGGGTAATTAACACCCGAACACTCATTAAATATGATAATTTATGTAATTATAGATATAATTTATATAGCGAATTATATTTAGAAATAACATAATGTTATATAATCGTTTTCGCCTTTTCATAGTTAAATATTTCCATGCTAAATGAATTAATAGTAATATATTTGAAAGAATAAAGCCATTCCTTAGTTGGAATTCGGTCTTAATTGTTGACCACGTGCGGTGTACGTGTAGAGCACGAGACACGTGCGAGAATATTTAATCAATTATTTATATAAATATAATTCAAATATCAATTTAATATAATTAAATATACACAGATTTAGCTATCCATTTAAATTGAAATTTACATAGGGATGAAATCGTCTTAATATTTACTACATGAAGCTGATACTACTCAATTTGAGTAAAACCGTAACAGTTCTTAGAATGATAAATAGACGTTAAGTTCGTCTTTAATTAAATATGTTACTGGGGAAATCATATAATTGCAATGTTTATCTGTTTACAGAAGCAATATCTAGATGACTATATCCTTTAACGACAGTTTTCTCTAAGTTTGTGATTTAGCCACCAAGAAATATTTTCAAAAAAAAAGGCATAAAAAACAAGATTCATTCTGATTATATTATCGTTAACAGCTTACTGATTTCTGGAAATTGAAAATTAAAGTTTTTTAATCGTTGAATAATCGGTGCTCTTAGTAATATAATTTTCCTGTCGAGCTATTTCAAAATTTAGTTTCACATTTATCCATAATCAAAAGTGTACTTTTTCGAAATCCCCCTCATTAAAAGTTACAATAAACATGTACATTGGCACCCGGCTCACCCCTCCCCAATCAAAGTGTTTTGAGAAGCAGAGACAAAAACATAGGTAGTTTAGAGATTTCCCGACAATAAATAATGAATAATTTTGCGGAAAGATGCTGTCCATTTCCCTTAAAATATGTGTGCTCTACTTGTTATTGCTCGTGAAAATAGCATTCAACACTTGAAAAAATGAACAAAAATGCAAAAAAAGAAACTGAAATATTACCTGATGTCGGTCTATCTGAATATCGGGTACAATAAACCCAAGCTGGCCACAAATTCTTTTTTTCTTCGGAATTAGAATCCGGACTCGGTAACTGTTCCTTTTTAGATGTTTCTGAAGGCCTACTTGATGAAACTGGTATTCTAGGTACACGACGGTTATTGTCCTTTGAAAGAAAATTTGAGGAAATCACACTGGGTCTATTATAAATTCGATGAAAAATGTTCGTTTTCAACTGTTTTACACCAAAATCTGGTTTCAGAATTTCTGCTATGGAAAAGTTTGTTAAAGTCATATTTGGAGACGGTATCCTTTCGTCGTGGAGACTTCGATTTTCTACTCCCAGTGATGCTGATCTTGGTGAGGATGATGGTGATGTCTCACTGAGCGTTGGTGCCGAGTTATCTTTCTTGCTTAAATCCATTGTAATAATATTGAAACATTAAAACATATCTTATAATGTACCATTTAACAACCATCTATTAGCAGGCGATAAAGAAACGTAGTTGCTCCCATTTTCACCCAGTTGTCAAAGTATTCAGAGGGCGGAGTTAAGGTTTGACTGACACCTCTTTTGTATCCAATAGAGATAATTTGTATCTCGTGTAAAGATTCTTGTATGCAAATGAGATTACAAATTCATCGAATTGATTGAATTTTCTATTCCAGATTGAAACGTTTTGGATCAGATGATTAATATGTTCAAATTTGGTAAACAATTATTTTCCAATCGTAAGCCTATCCAGTAAAACATTAGATGTAGGTGTAATTATGATTTGAATTTTCAAAGATGAGCATACGTATTAGACGTGATTCATTTTGGATTTTCCAATGAACTATGAATTCATATTGCTTATGATTTGTAAGATATGGATTTGAATTCAAATTAGTTGGTGACGCCAATTTACAATTATTTATCAAATAAATGAAATTTATATTGAGAGTTTGAAATTATCATTGTTTACAGTAATCTTCATGATAAAGATGTTTGGTAACTGTAGATACAAAGTGTCTTTTGTTTCCAATTGGCATGGTATAGCACACAAAGCTTCGGAACGTCAGCAAATTATTGCGAAAATCAAGATTGTTAGGACATGTTTATACAAAGCCGAATTGCATCCGGTAATAAGCATGGAAGTATTGTTCGACTATATAGTTATTCACTTCGTTTGAATGCTGCCAATATGAGCATGTGAATATATTTTGTGCTTCTTTATCTATATTATGTGTACGTTAAGGTACACAGAAAAGCAAGAGGTTTTTATTTCTACTAGATGGCTAACCGATCACATCTTGATTTTCATGAACACAAAGTCTTCAATGTTTTGGAATCTGTTAACACCATCAAATTATTTCTTTGTTTAGTTGACAAGTAGTTGGAGAGATCATAATTCAAGCCTCCTTCAACTTCATAACTTCTCCAATAATATCATAAACATTGGCTCTTATCACAAATACCTCTTCATATCACTGTCTAGAATCTACTAAACGCTATGTAATTATTGTTTCTAATGTCTTATTGCCAACAACATTTATTCTTTTATAATAGACCAAACTGTCATGACGCAGCTCAAAATTTAAGGTTATTTTTGTAATTTTCTGTAATCCAAATTTTTGGTCCAATAAGGCCCGTATCCAGACTTGATTGTTCGGAGGGGCAAAGAGGAATGGTCTTTAAAGTAAGAAATTGGTCGGTTGTCAAAATCCCCCCCTCTTGCCCCCTATAGGTCCAATAAATGTGTATTTGCATGCTTTTCTGGTATTTACATGCTCTGAAATATACTCTTTTCCATCATATCACACAGGTACATGTACTATTTTGGTTTACATAATTAGTTGTATGGCATGTGTATAGGCTGTAAATAATTAGTTAGACAGGGGTATAGGGCTGGACACAATTAGTTCGGCCAGGTATGTGTAGAGACTGTACACAATTAGTTGGGAAGTACAGAATTAGTTCAGAAGACTGTACTCAATTAGTTCGGAAGTACAGAATTAGTTCAGAAGACTGTATACAATTAGTTCGGACATACAAATTAGTTCAGAAGACTGTACACAATTAGTTCGGAAGTACAGAATTAGTTCAGAAGACTTTACTCAGTTAGTACAGAAGTGCAAAATTAGTTTAGAAGACTGTACACAATTAGTTCGGATGACAAGATTAGTTCAGAAGACTGTACTCAATTTGTACGGAAGTAATGTATTAGTTCAGAAAACTTTACAACATTAGTTTGGAAATACATAATTATAATTACGTATTTCCGAACTAATGTTGTAAAGTTGTCTGAACTAATTCTGTACTTCGTCGTTTTCTGTAGTTTAGGAGACTGTACAACATTAGTTAGAGAGACACTTTCTATACTCAATATATTACAATGCAAATAGGGTGATAGCCTGTATACATATTTAGAGTTAAAATGAATGAGTTCAGAGGGTTGAAATTTTTACATATTTAAAACCGAAAAATTTGTAATTGTTCAAGTTCTGCTCCAATCTTTTTGTAACTGTGGAGGCCTCAATAGCAACGAAGGAGAAAATAAAAGATTTGAAACACGTCAAGAATGCTGTTGTAATTATAGAGAAATCTGTTTTAGTTATTTACAATGACACAATCATTCTTGTAAATGGAAGAAATCAAGGCAAGATCTGCCGGTGGTACAACGAGTTCTTTTATCAGCTCAAGAATTATGAGGTGTATAGAGAACCTTGCCACATAAATCTGTAAGTAAGAATTCCTACCACATACATAAATCGATCTTCATATTCTTTGCCACATAAATATATCAGTACAAAAACTTGGTGTGGTTTAACAGGCTGATAGTTACAAGTGGGTTACAAGCCGACACCGGGTGGACTCTTGAAAGCACTGAGGGTGGCTTCAGAAGGATTCGAACCCCAATCGCCTAGCAGTCGACAAACGTGCTACTCAAAATGAGTATTTCAACTGAGCGTTGTGGGGTTGAGAATCGAGAATGCAGAAATATAAATTATAAAGAGTGTGTTCACTCTGTCATAATTAGTATCTGTCAACAAACCAATGAGTTTACGAAATTGTGACAAACTGCCTTTGTGCGCCCATAAAAAAGCAGAAAGAAAGAGCGATCAAGCAGAATTCACTTGATGATAGTGCCTTTTTTGAAAAATATATATGCCCGATTTCACGGCATATCCGGTTACGCTGAAACTAGAAGCTCAGAAATTACCAAATTTTGGAAATAGAATATAAAAAATGGTATCTAAAAATCTTAATTGCCAAAAACCATTGAACTGAACTGTAATAGACTGGATTACACTGAAAATCTAAGTCAAAATTAATCGCGAACCCAGATTTGCGAGCACTCTATCAAACTCGAAAAATATGACAGCGGTAGTTTAGCTTGTCAAAATGATCAAACTTGGTTTTATGCGATAATGAACGGATCTAGTGCGAGTTCAATAGGGCGAGTAATTTGTGAGTGTTGGGCCATCGATCATGTTGGGGTAAATTAACAGCTAGACTGAAGCTCCAGTAGAGATCTCACGCCTTGCTACTCCCGTATTAATGATATGAATGTATTTCATTTAATTGATAGGTTTAATGATGTAATAATCTTTCCATAACAACAATTTTTGTTCAACTTCCTTTTTTTCTGATTTGAATACATTTACCAATCGCGACTAGACTGTTAATTGTTTTCTTGCATACATTTTTATTGTGGTACGGTATTTTGAGCTGCATATTGGACAAATCTGAATCATGAACGCCTGATGCAATGCTAAGTAAACTTTCCAATTACTTAAAAAGTGAAAATGACGTCTGGCGTCTGTGATCGTAATTACTAATGCATGTATGTGCATTTAGGAATTCAAGTGACACAATCACTTCCGGTTTCCGACCAAAACAGAAAATCCACAAAAGGTAGAGTTCTGTGTTGTTGATGTGTCATTCTGGTGTTTCTTTTCATCCTTTAGGAAAGCTGAACGTCAGACTTGAAACGGCATTTCATACACAAGATATACTGACAGAATTTACCAAATTGGACGCTCTGTCTGTCTGTCTCTCTGAACTATTATTCCTTGATATGCATCGTGCAAACGTTGGTCCTTTTGCAATAATTACTACTTTCCACCAAGATGAATTATGGATGTTTTTTTAAATGGAAAGATTTATGTATATATTGTGTCAAGTATAAGATGTTAAACATGACAAGTCAGTAATTAGTACTCTAGGCTAATTAGATTACTAATTAGTAACGTCAATTATTCATTTTTATATCACTTTTCAATTATCATAAATTTTTGACATAAATTGATTGCCATATAAGGAAGAAAGTTGATTATTATGATGTTTCTCAACTTATAAGGTAATTTTTCATAATTTCTTAGAATATTGAGAAATTCATGAAATTACATTCAGAACTCTCGAATTACTCTCTGAGAAAAGTCCATAAAAGTCCACTATTCAAATGGATATATGAAGGAAAAGTTGTGATTATTCACTTATATTTTGTGCCTATAGAAGAACCCATTCCTACACTTTCATCAAGCATTTGACGTCATAAGTTAATTAAAGTTTGGGCTACAGTCGTCCTCAAAGTATTGTCATATAAAGAAATCACAGCAGTAATTTTCAAATGAGATAGGAACATCTAAAAGCAGATTTCCACCTGTAAAATTGACGTCAATGCGTCACTAGTTAGCATTTTACTGAGCTACAGTATAGAACTATAATATACTATTACAGTTCTATGGCTACAGCCCTGTTCAATGGAAGCTGATAAACAGAATTTCAAGCCATTCAGAAATTCGAAAAATGTTCAGAAATGTCTAATTTGAATCTATATACCTATTTGCTCGTCTGGAAGTGTAGACATGAGAATTAGTTCAACTTCAGTAGGGACGCAGACTGAAAATAGGTCAGTTGTTTGAAGATCGCATTTTTTTAAATTCTGTTTTAATATTTCTTTCTATTTGCCTCTCAGATTTTGTAATTCAAGTGTCATATCCTCATTAAAATTGACAAATTAGCCTCATGAACTTGTACTAGTTAATATAAAGTAATTAATTATGCAAATTAAAGGTGATTTATATCAATTAATATTCGAGATGACACGCCTCTTGTTTATTAAATATCTACCCGTATTTTCCGACTGCCTTTCGTAGTTCATCTTTCTATGTTATTATGGCATACCTATTCCAGAAGAGGTTTCCTGCCAAGCTTGGAAACAGTATTTCTAGAGTTAAAATATAAAGTGAGCTTTATTAATTTGGCTTTACTATTTTTTCACCTTTGGGAAGTTGTATTCTTGTATGACA